TATAACAAGATTCCGGTTGATATACAAAATTTGCCTTTCACGAGGTTTAAAACTATAGTGAAACAAAAACTTTATACTAAAGGTTATTATACAACTTCTGCGTACTTGGATGACAAAAATCCGTGGTAGTAACCCGTTTAGCTCATGGAGGTAGTCTCAATCTGATGTTTCAAATAAAAAAATATTGTAAATGTTATTTACAAAGAGCAACCCCTAGAGTTTCTTGCTCATTCTTCTCAGGGGAATCTGCCTTACGAATGAGCGGTAGAGTTTAACCATTGTGACGATTTCAAGTGTAATAATGCTTACCTATGAAATAAAGATTATTTTGATTTGATTTGATTTGATTTGATTTGATACACGTGCAAATTAAACGAGGCGAAAGTTTTCGGCTTCTATTCATAGATCCGGGAGGATGCGATTAGCTAAACTATAGCAGGACATTGCGAGACAATGACAGATGAAGGAAAGCGACAGCCAAATGATAGCCGATAAGTGGTTATAGAAACATAGGACGTCATGCACCTGCAATGAGATGAATAGCGCCGTTTGTCAAAGTCGCACACGTCCGGCGTCACAGTCTAATTTCAGCTGTGGCATTAGATGGGTGGTCCGCCACAGCCGCGCACATGACAGTAATTCAAATTTGTGTTGACTATTTAAAATTTGATGTTAACTTCGTTGTTTTTTTTTGTGTTAAGTTTTGCTTTGTCTTTTTTCATTCTTTGCGGCAGCGTTGCAATGTTTTTTTATTCTATTCTAAGGTCTGGTGCTATAGATGGTTGAAACTAGCGCAAAATCGTGATAAAAGGCACAAACTAGACCTATAATGCGAATGGTTATTTAAGTTTGACTTATTGTAGTTAGAATTATTCACTTGACTTTTTTTTGTATGGTTTCAACAAATCGTAAGGTATGGATCGGAATTAATAATAAATATTGGTGTCTCTACTTTAGTCTACAACTGTAGTAATGCTCTATTATGAGTCAACCTATATAATAAACGTTTATCGGAGAGGACGCCTGTACGTTTGAACTTCTTACCTTACTACCGAATATAGATCTCAAATGTGTCAGATAGTACATACAATAAAACTTGAAAAATTTCTTTTTGGTAAATTTATTATGTTTTGTAAGTTTAGAATGCTACGACGTTTTACTACCATTTTATTCAATTAATTTTCGACTCCAGTACTTTAATCTGTCAATTATAATTTCATAAACCGTATTATAAAGACGCTCTTTTTAGCTCTATTGTCTATGATACTGGCCACTGAGCTGATAAACTTCATTAAAGTTGTGTGCATAGAATTGTAATTAATATTAAAGTATTATAATGAGTTGCATATGAGAGTATAGACCAATAACAAGATCAAAAATAACGTCGTATTTATACTAATTAAAATATCAATCAGGACGCTACTCAAACGCTATACTGGCTCCTGATTGGTTAAATTGGCCTAAAAGTCTAGCAGCCGGGTCATGTCTTTACAAAATAATCTCAGTACAGAGTACTAAAAAAACCGACCTCAAAAGTACGTGGAATTACGTATATTTGCTAAGTTTCATTGAAATATCCCCTAGTTCGCCACTATACAGGACTTGATACTGGAGATAATAAAAATAGGTTCGCATTACGACTATACTCAAAGTATATAGAGGGAAATACGCCTTGAATTGGAGAAATAGCAAAATCAACTAAATAATTGCTAAAAGTAATTACTCCTAAATTAAAGTTAGGCGCTATTTATAAAAATGAATCTTCATGCGTGAACAGCCATCCTTAGAGGTGGATCCTTCAAAATGAAATGAGACCACTATGGAAGTACCCCCTTTCCAACAAAAAAAGAATCATGAAAATCGGTTCACAAATACCGGAGTTATCGTTAACATACATACAAAAAAGAAAAAAAAAAGAACATACAGTCGAATTGAGAACCTCATCCTTTTTTGAAGTCGGTTAAAAATTATTGGTTAAAATACATACTTACTTGGCCACTTACGGGTACTTGACCAGTTATATTCTGTCTCTTTGGTTATTCGTGTTGTAGCATTTGTTTCGCTTTCGTCTAAATACATGAAAATATAAAAAATATATGATGGAACCTAAGTCGCAAAAATCGCATTTGTTTTCATTGATTGTTAACAATATACATTATGTACATTAAATATTGGTTCTCTTTCATATTTAATTTATTCGTAGAAAAAGTACCGTATGCAATCATTACATAATTAGTTCTTAAAATCTCATACATGTTACTTAGACCACTCGGTGTTCGATTTTAAGAACCCTTATTATGCACGCTACGGCAAAAAAGTCGTTAAAAACGAAAAACAGAGATCTGCAACAAGCACGTACAAAATTCATAAGCTGTGGTTGGGTCGTTCCATAGCTCAATTGGGAGAGCGTTTGGCACGGACTGCTTCAAGGCGCTGGTTCAAATTCATCCTATGTACAATATTAATAACAACTTGATATAATATTTGTACTGACAATGTTCGAAAAAAGTATAAAATTTTGTATAATTATTTCCGTGTACATGCGTAAGTCTGGAAGTGTGTACGAATGTTTAAAAAAAAAACACAAAAAGCGACTCATAAAGATGCTAAAACCATTCTTGACTCAACCACCTAGGGATGAACTAACAGGCTCGATATTAAACTATAAGTATTACTATTATATAATATAATTATAGATGTACTTTTTGAAAGTGTCTCTTTAGAACAGTTTTAGCAGCATTAAGTGTTACCTAAAATTTTCCTCTGATTTCTTTTAGATCTTCTAAATTAAACAAATATTTAAAACAAACAGTGGATGTCATTTCAATTTTAAGAATCCAGATACTTAACTACAAATAATGTGACATTGACGAGTGATATGTAATTTAAAAACTGTAATACCACGTTGTTACCCTTATTTCATATCACCTCTTGATGGCTTCATTATTTTTTTACAATTGGGGACAGTTGGCGAGAACGAACCCTCCCACATTTTACGGTTATAATAGAGACATTCAAATTGTAGGTTTTATGGTTGTTAGGTTATATTTAGCTTCAATTGTCGTTCTAGTGCTGCAAAGTACTAAAATTTTATCGATATTTCATGTTTCACAGGGTTTTATAGTTCCTTATGCAATAAAAAGGTAAACTAAATATCGAAATGTAAAACGTTAAGCTGGAATCATAATTTGAATTACCTTACGCGTATACGGTTAATACCTAAGTCATTAAATAACGAAATAACAATTAAATTAAAGGGTTTATTGCAAATGAAACTATTTGGTCACGGCTGACTCATTTAGTCGTGACTACGCGACCTGTAAAGAGCGCGAAAAGGCAGGTTAGAAAAATAAATATAGGTACGCGATATACTTATTTGAGATCGGAAAAAATGTACTTACATTTCTTATCCACTTAATAAAAGGGCTTATAGCAAAAGGTACATAAACGTTACGATGGCAACTCATTGAGAGAGGGTCTTCTTCTTATTTAAGTAGTACTCAGGGGTAAACACAAAACTGCACAATGCGATTTCGTGCGGCAAAGCGTCTCACTGCCACGGTTCGGGTGATCATTCCTTCGACCGTCGTCAACGGCACTAAACGTATTTTTTAAACTCGGCAGCGACTGGGATTCCTAAAGTCTCCTAGAGTCTTTTGTTTCGACCTTTAAGACGCTCTGGTCAGTAGACCAATCGTCAATCATCTTTGTTTAGCGCCCTAACTTTGATTTCGTGATATGATACGACATTAACTTTGTCTCTTTTAGAATTTCGCATGTTTCAGTTATAAGATGATTGAAATATGCTTTGGTGTCAGCTGCTTGTCCATAGCAGTTGCTGTGCCACTCAGAGCTCTAAATCACAAAGATCTTAGAGGCTCTACCACTGCGCTTGTCACCCTGAGACATAAGGTGACAAGTCCTATGTGCCTATAATTTCACCAGTACCCCATATCTCATCAACTGAAAGACCATTGGTTCAAATATATGTGGCGGAATTATACCTATGAGTTAAATTTCAAAGTCACGTACATTTATGGATGTTTAGTAACAGCACCTATTTCTAATGAAGGGAAACGGCGTAATGAAACCCGCATGTCGAAGAAGGGTCACAACCCTTGAAAAATGAGAATAAAGAATAAAGAATCTGTCAACGCCACAACCCTTAACCCACAACTTTTAGTAGCAGTAGCGCTCCTCGTGAAAGAACTCGTCCAGGGAAGTATTGCCACCTTGCCTATTTCTGCCGCCAAGTAGTAATCCGAGCATTACAGAGTTTTTTTAAGGGTGCTGGTGAAATTACAGGCACTTAAGACTTGTCAACTTATGTCTCAGGTTGACGGACACTGTGGCAGTGCCCCTCATATCTTTGCTATTTAAAGCTCTGCGCGGCACTACAACTGCTATGGACAGGCTTGTCGCTATTTTTCAAAAATATATTTTGACTAGCGAGGCCGAGGCCTAAACCCTCTTCTAAGAGGAGACCCGTGCCAAGCAGTGGGATATAATGGATTGATGATGATGAAGAAAATAATCCAGAGTGAGTTTGCATAGTGGTACCACTAATTCGTTAAGAGGTTTCTAATAGAAATCAAAGTATGCACTGGTAATTGAACGTGTAATAAATTGGTTAAGGTACAATTCAGGTACTTTTAAGGCTATGTGTGTACTTGGGGAGTGAAGGCTAAATGTAAATATTATATTTAGATCCGAACTAGTAAGCAATCTGAATATCTTGACTTTATATAAAATACTGCTTGTATAACTTGTACAAAAATCACAGAAACAAATAATATAAATCAGACAAAGACCGTAAGTAAGCTATCTGTTAATAATACATGAGATTGGTTGAAATGTAGATAGACACCTAATTATAGAAGCTATGCGACATTTGACTGGGACTATTGCTTTGGTGAGGGTTCATGAGGGTATATAAAGAACGAAAAACTAAATCTAAATTCATTCTTATCTTATTGTTGGTAGTACGATAGCCCATCGTAATGGTAACAAAATTTTTGGAAAGTTTGGAAGATCACAAACAACGTTTGCTTGGACCCAACATCTGGATTATGACGTCGACGGGATTGTTACTTCCAGAAAACAATTTCTTTAAAGTGGTTTATATTATTATACACGAATTAGTAACACTTTTCGTGATTACGCAATGCGTGGAGATTTATGTAGTAAGATCTGACTTAGATCAAGTTATTGAAAATGTTAAGATATCGTTAATGAGCATTATGGGCGTGATAAAATCAAACTCTTTCCTGTTTGAGCAGAATAGATGGAAACAAGTTCTGGAGTACGTTACTGAAGCTGACGAATACGAAAGAGTACACAAAGACAAAATTAGAGGCGAAATTATTGACAGGTACACGAAATATTGCCGACGAGTTACTTACTTCTCCTTCATTTTTGTCTTTGTTACTGTCGTAACAGTAATTTCTACGCCTCTACTGAATTTTTTATCATCACGAAACTTTCGAGAAGGTTTCCGCAATGGCTCTGAACCATTTCCCCACATCTGCAGCTCGTGGACGCCCTTTGACAAAAATCATTCTCCGGGGTCCTGGATAACAGTTATTTGGCACATTTGTATGTGTGCATATGGCGGTTCTCTTGTAGCAGCTTATGACACAAGTATAATCGTCATAATGAAATTCTTTGGAGGAAAATTGGACCTGTTGAGAGAACGAGCTAAGCTGGTGCTGGGTCCTCCAGGAAATAGAATCAGCGATGACGAGGTCAAAAGAATGCTGAGGTGTTTACACCATGAGCATATCTTGCTAATAAAGTAAGTGACATTTTTTAAGATTATTGTATAAATTTATTAGGATCTCTTTCATATTATCATAAGGTATTTTTATATTCGAGCATAAGATACTGAAATATGATTTAATATTTCACAATTATATACTTGAATACTTAAATAATAACAATTGCCACCGATATATTATATAAAACTAACCTGAAAAATACCAAATCATTACTCTATAACGACAACAGAAAATAAACAACTTTTCTAATTAAGAAAAGTTGTTTGTTGCTTAGTAATAGTTAAAAATGTCTACTAACGGTAAAACGGATTCATCAGTTTTTAAGTTATTGAAGAAAGTAAATTACCAGATAATTCGCTGGTTCGTTCCGTGGCTTAGTTGGCATAGCGTCTGCCACGGTAAGCTAGAACACGTCGGTTCGAATCCGGCCGGATCGAAGGGTTTTTTTCTGAGTGTTCGATCTTTGTATTAATAATTTTCACAAATATACCTATCGTCTTCGGATTTAAATCGAGTTAATTTGTTTTTTCAAACAAACCAACGTTTCGGGCCCTATACAGGTCACAGCTGACTTCCACGGGACCTGAAAAGAGCCCGAAACGTAGTTTGTTTAAAATAACAAATATACGCAAGTTCCAAAAAAATAGTTTTATTTCCTATGTGTAACAATTGCGAAAACATGACAACTCGATGAGAATACCTATCTTTTTTATCAACGTAATTGTCCAATATTTTACGCAGTATGCCTATACTGCATAATAATATATTAATTTTAATTTTTGTATTTAATCCTTCAAAAGAAAGTCAGTGACTGAAAATACAGTGTTATAGTTGGAGATTTGAGGTTATATTTACCACTTAACATCTCATGCCACGTCTTTCAAACCTCATAACAGTAGACAAGATTTATTTCATAGATCTGTGCCACTAACAGGAGCGGCAGTCTGCGACCCTTTAGTCCAACTTCCATGCTGTGGTCATCATTCGAGGCCATTACTTCCCCTTGCTAATAATACCTACCTTTCTATGTTAAGCCCACATACATCCAACTGCTGAGCACGGATTAAGACCTGTCAAACGAATGTACCTTTAGTTTAACAATACGTATATATATAACAATACGTATATATAATTTAGATAAACAATACGTATTTATACAGATAACTAATCTACATTTTTTTAATATAAAGTTTTTTTGATATAAAAATGTGAGTGCACATTTGACCTCCATCTCACCTGAAGGAAAGTGGCGATGAGGTCGACGGATAGAGCATGCCCACCTAAATAATGTCTATTCACTCTCGCCTAGAAAAGGTCCAAATTATAACGTTCAGGGAACAAGTCTGCAGGCAGGGAATTACACTCCATAGCCGTTCGCCATATAAATGTGGAGGCATAATGCTTCGTGCGAGTCTTTGGAATATCCACAACATAGAAGTGGAACCCAAGCCTACGTCCAGTCGTGTAATTCCATATCACACTGTAGAATACCGATAACCTGGCAACTTTTCGGCAGTATTAAAGGCTCTGTACCATCGCCTCTACTAATTCCGAGTCACCTATAAGCCTCTTGGCACGCTTGTCAATTGAATCCAAAGTGGCCAGTTACGTAGCAGAGCCATCCCAAAATTGGCAGCAGTACTCCATGCACGACCGGACTTGTGTTTGGTACAGCTGAAGCAATTGTCCCAGTGTAAAGTAACGCCTTACCCTGGAAAAGATGCCAAGGTTCCTTGGTGCATTTTTGGCCATTGATTCAATGTGTCTGCGGAAGTTCAAATTGGACGACAAGTTCATTCCAAGTAGCTGGAGACAGTCGGCTATCGGTATGGATAAATCACGAAAAATCGGAGTCAGCTGAAAGGGACTCCGTTTTGTGGACAATAGACGCGCCTGTGCTTTGGTAGTGTAAATTTAACAAGATTGGCATCGCCCCAATCGGAGACTGTCTTGAGTGTCAAATTCAAACGGCTAACCGTGGACTCTTGACTAGACTGGATTTCCTCTCCACTGACCGTAGCATTGGTCAAGTACCTATCTACAACTGTGCTGTCATCCGCATACGCAAAGGTACCTGGAATTAACATGTCATTCAGAAATGCAATGCCAAATTTATATATGCTTTTAGATTAAATAATTCACTATAGTATATTATAATTGTAGGTACTTTCAGTATCTATTGTCTTGTTAAACCGCTTTAACAAAACAATTTGTTTTTAATTTTAACATTGAGAATTACAAAACATTTTCTTGTCTCGTGTTGTGTTGTGGTTGGGTACCCTGATGTTCTCTGGACCTCCCGCAATATATTGTAACTTTAAAAAAATTCAATTTAACATTAAAAGTTTCATAAATACGATAAACACAAAATCTACAACCAATTGCTGAATAACGTAGCCCGAGTCTGAAAACTTTCTCATGATTCCAGTAGAAAAAAAACAAAAAATAAAAATATTGTGAACTGTTTTCAAGAATTACGCAACTTTCATGATATAAAAAAATTGTAGTTCGCTTTTTACTTGCATTTTTATTTTATTTATTTATTTTATCTTAAAAGGTACATACGGCGTAAACTACGACGTAATAGAAATTAAAATAACAATGGTAAGCAAACAGTTCCCCGTTGATAGAGGTTAAGTTAACATAAAAAACGCATTGAGAACACAGTCCGTTAAGATAAATAAAAAAAACACAAAAGTTAAGATAAAACACAGAATTTCACATTGCGACACTTAAAACAGTTCATAAGTAGGTCATACACCACTAACCTATATAACAACCATCAGAAGTTTATTTCAGAATCTCGTTTCTCGCATGTATAAAAAATACTATGTCTATATTTTATTAAAAATATTACCTATGCATTTTTATCGAGCATAGGCCAAAGCGGGACTAAGAATTTTATCGACAGTTTCCAAATTCCACGGCGCCGCCCTTACAAATTCGTTCCCAGGCGCGGATACATCAAAAACAATAATTAGGCTAACTACACCACATATTTTACTTATCATAATTTTGGTTTTTGTTGCAGGCAGTCAAGATTATTTAATTCTCTGTTATCGCCGGTAATGTTTTTGTATGTGGCTATGTGCTCACTGAATCTTTGTGCCGTCGCGTTTCAACTTACTGTAAGTTTGTTCATATAGTGACTAACGGATAAAGCATCTACCTAGGTTCAACTTCGAAAGAAATAAATCCCATGTGCCTGTAATATCGCCTGGTCTCAACCTAGGAAATTCCCTGTACTATGAGTAGCAGAGCAACGGAATTCGCTCTGGGGAACTTCGCAGAACACCTAGATCAGAAGGAGTTTCTGGTCCTAACTGGTCCTACAGGGAATCCGGATCCAGTGCCCACAGTACAAACCGTTTAAATAAATAAATAATAATTATTGTGTTGTTTGCAGTCAGCAACAAGTGCAACCCAAAAACTATTCTTGGCAGTGTTTTTTTTGTTCGTAATCGCGCAGATATTTATATATTGCTGGCAAAGTAACGATGTCCTGGTCAAAGTATGTAAAAATTATCTCAGAGATGTTCGCTTTCGTTGTTAATAATTTCGTATTTACTAGTTTATTGCAAATTTTCTTATGTCCACAGAGCAAACAACTAACACTCGGGCCTTACGAAAGTGAATGGTGGGCCGCTAACGCGAAACAAATGCAATATGCTTTAATGTTGGCAGGACAATTTCGAATCCAATGTGTTTTCACCGCCGGGCCGTTTGCTTCTCTCACCCTACCCACGTTTATCACGGTATAGAAGAATACTTAAAGTAAAAAATACACTAGTGTGTATTATTTTACTGCAGTGCAATGTAGTTTTTTTCTATTCACCTGTACTAAGGTATATTGGTAGAAGCAGAGCATTGTTTTTTAAAGTTTTGTTTTTATTTTTCAGATTGTGAAAGGAGCATATAGCTATTACACACTGTTGAGAAAATAAACAAAAAATCTAATGTGTTCTTTCGTTAGTATTGCAACAAGTAGTTTGTCACATTTATAACTGCCTCCGTGGTGGAACGGTTGCCATGCTGGTCTGCTACGCAGAGGTGCCGGGTTCGATTCCCGGGCCGTGAGGAATATTTTATATGGCCTATATTTATTTCTCACGTGATTTTGGGTGTAATTTGTTGTTGTCTATGTGTGCCCATGGCACCCGCTATACAGGGTTTGCCTAGTGCGGAGCTATGAGTGTGAGCGTTATTTATTTAAGTTCGACTTAGAACTTTAATTAGCACCTAGATTCCGTAAAATCCTAATATACGATATAGAAGTCTTATTCACATTAAATTATATTGATTAGAACTTTGGTATTTATATTTGTCTCTTTCTGAAACCACGGACCCCTTATCACCTCACTTACTTTCCCCTATTCCTGAAAGAGTTCCAACTGATATTTACTACATTATTAATATCTAAGTCGGAGTAAGGACTATTTGTTCAGGTTCAGGGATGTTCGGATGACTCTGGGGGTCACAATAACTGTCAAATAAGTGATACTCTCCGTTAATTAAAAGACTATGTCAAGTGTGAAGCTTCATTCGCACCATGCGTTTTCTAATTAGGTCGAGTATTACTCATTTGACAGTAATTGTTTCGGGCAGATGGCGGACGGAGAACGGCAGAAGAGCCTATAGATATAGAAAAAAAAGGTAGACCGCCTGGATTGTTTGTGCAGTGCAATTCAAACGATGGCCCTCCTCATATTATGCTCTGGTTGCTCTAACACCTGCACGATTGAGATTTTATGGCGGCTACCACAATAACATAATACAACAATAATACAAAAATAAGCCACAATAGCTTAGTGTATGCTATTGATACGATAAGAAAAAGAATATCTAAAATACTTAAATTTCCCTTTATAAGTCCCAGGTTCGATTCCCGGGCCGGGAGAAATAGTTGTATGGCCTACAATTATTTCTCTCGTGAGTTTGGGTGTAATATGTGGTTGTCTATGTGTGTGTCCATGGCACCCGCGACACAGGGTTTCCCTAGTGCGGGGCTATGTTGAGTGTGTGCGTTATTTATTTTATTTATTTTTAGATTACTCGTTTTTCGCGTACGATTTCCAGACCCTTGCGCATTTTATAGCACTAATAGATTCTATAAACTTTGCTGTTCGCTTTTCCTTGTAGTAATTACTCATTATTCCATAATTTCCATTCTTCAGATCTAGTTTTTTTATAACAAGTAACGGGACGAACACATCTTGCACCTTACCATCGAAAGCGACACGGCTGGCCATAGCGTTGCAGTGCTACTCAGGGCTTGCGAGGCACTACCACTGCGCCCGTCAACCTGAGACATAAGTTGACCCAAGGGAGGGCTTGTAATTTCATCAGCGCCTTTACCATTCAAAACAGGAATGCAATAATGCTCACATTAATACTTGGTGATAGAAATAGATAAGGTGACAATAATCCCAGGATGAACTCTTTCACGAGAAGCTCTGCTGTTACTCAGGCTGTCAGGTCCTTGACATCTAATTCTTGAGAGCAGACGCCTCCAACTCCGTGCCTTCACCTTCTTCTACTTTCATGAAGACACTACATTACTCATTCTACTCTATTGCACACTAATAATTTCAGATTATTTTCTTATATAATGTATTATTTTCTTTGTAACTCTCCACTCCGTTCCTCCCACAAAACTTTATTGTTATAAATAAGAGGAAGAGACGCGAAAAGACAAATACATACAGCTGTATTTCGAACCAGTTTTATTCCTCCTTCTCATCGTCATCATCATCCAACCAGCCGAAGGCTCTTTTTTAACCAGCCAAAATTTTGACAACTAAAAAGACCTTCACTAGAGCGGTGCCACCTAACGGCGTAATTGGTAACCACAAAAATATAATAACTGTCAACTTTAAAAAAAGTACTTCTAATTACAACGTACGACTACCGTATTTATATCATTTTATGATTAATAACTGATAAATAAAAAATAATTATTAAGAGAATGTAGTGAAGTTTCGGAAGAAAAAAGTAGCGGCCTCTATCGGCATCCGTGACAACAAAATTAAAATCAATACGTGAAAGATAATTATTGAAATTTTGAACTTATAGCACTTTGATCAATACCACTTAACAAATCTATTACTTATTTTGTGCGCTATAGCATATGTTCTGTTTACAGAACATTTATTAGTGATAAATTTCATTATTTAAAACTTACTATTTGTTTTTATACCAATACTGCCATCTATCGACTTTGTTCACAAGCTATACAATAAGCTCGACGAAAATAATGAACAGGCAAGACGAATGTACCAGTTTGGCTGTTTACATTGTTCATGGGTACACACATAGGTGGCGTGAATTTCTTTTAAAATAAAATAGCCAATGAGTAAATATAAAAAACAAATTTATTTATAGGGAAACAATCGATGTATACATTGTTCATAACAGTTTGTATATAATTCTTCAACCGATTCCGAGTCCGAATGACTTGAATCAAGTACAACACGCACAATAAGTCAACATTTTTTTTATGATACCAAGTGACTTTGCAGTTTCACTCAGAGCTGCAAATCGCAAAGATGGGGGACACTGCCACTGCGCCTGTCACCCTGAGACATAAGTTGTCAAGTACCATATGCCTGTAATTTCACCAGCACCCTTGCCCTTCAAAACCGGACAGCAGTAATGCTCACATTATTGCTTGACGGCCGAGATAGGTAACACAAGGAGCTCTACTTCTGTTATGGGTATTTATTAAGTATACATATTTATTTTTATATTAAAATCAGTAACATGAGTGAATATTCAAGGTAGTAGGTAAAATTTATATAACAGGTAAGGTATAATTATTAATCTCGGTAGCACCCTAAAGCAAAAATGCCTTAATATTAAGAAGGGAAAAGCTGAAGAAACTCATATCATTATTCACACGAGGTGCTACTTATTTAGCCTCCGCCCGTAGTAATTGAAAGGGGTGTGTAATGGAAGATATAACAACAAATAATCTATTTTCACTTTGTATAACAACATTTGATATAATTTCTAAGGGTATAATCACTCACTGTATGTAATCAACAAAAGTTATAACAACAAAAGGCATGATTTCAAGGTGTATAATAAACCTTTAGTATAACAAACACTAGATATAATGATTAGGTGACATAATGAACAAATGGTATAAGTATTACCAGTGCAATGTATTAAATAATATAACACAATATTCCGTTTAACGAATAGTTGAAGCGCCCTATATTATGTTAATAAGTTTTTTTTAATTTCATTAAAAGTTTGTAGATTATAATTAAAATATAATTGTTTTTGTACAGCTTTAAGTGCTTTTTGTGTTATAAAATATATTTATTAAAACTTTACGCAGAATATTTAATAACACTAACCTAAACCTATAGGAGGTCGAACCAACTAGCAAATGCAAACAAATTCGGTTCTGGTACTCGCCGGCCGCT